CTAAAATAGCTAGTGGAAATTTTTTACAGCTCCTTCCTGTTGCAAAGTTGTCCGGTCATTTAGAGAACACCATCAAGGTGCGGATTCCTGAATGATATTTCCAGATTTTCTCCCAAGAGGCCCTTCTTAGGTCGCATTCATAATCATTGAGTAAATCGCGCAATCGCGCTTGTAAATCGTGTACCGAATGATTTCTTGTATCCAGTGCCGGCCTCGGCGACCCGATGTCGCCTTCTGTCGTTGAAACTGAGCATCGTCAGACGGCTCGGCCTATTAAAGAAATCATTAGGTACGGAGATTCACATGCACGTATCGCGCAATTCAGTCTCGACTCAATCCCGCTGCTGCCAACTATGAATGCATTCTCAATGAATGAGATATTCGCATTATTGCCTTTCATTCCCGCTCCTTCTAATATCGTTTGAATTTGTGTCCATCTTGTAATCCTCACTTGTAAAGAGTTCATTTTAGGTCAAGCTCAAAGCGAGGACACCGACATATATTTGCGCATGACACCACAACGAGTTCCAAGGGTGGCCATGAACTGGATACCTCCAGGCGCCAAGCGAGGAAGAGGCCGTCCCAGAAACACGTGGAGACGAACGTTCGAGAATGATTTCAAGATCATGAATGTTTCTAGGAATGAAGGAGAAATGATTGCACAAGACCGGCAACAGTGGAAAGAATTCGTCGCCCGATGTGCTCTCCAGCACGGGAGGAACTAAGTCTAAGTCAAAGCGAGGAATCCTCGACAGGACCTTGAAGGGGAGGGGAGAAGGTAGTGCATGCAAATGAAATAATTGCTTCTATTTTATTCTAACGGCAGATGTAGAATACGGAATTTGTGACCAGTCTTTGAAGAGGCTTCAGACGCTGCTTACATTACATCAAATGGCCACATCGCCTTATCACCCTTCCCTTGTAAGTGCAGAGGTTTTCGCAGTAGGAAGAGCTCTACACATTCATACTTCTGTACTTCGTACATCCTGGTCCAGGTCCCACACTTCCCAACCTTAATCTGGTCTTTTCAGGTGGTTTTTCAGTACACGGTTTCGAGTCATTCAGACAGACAGGCCTTCAAACACAACGACAGAGAGGCCATAGGATAGTAGAATGTGTAATTTCCTACCACTGAATGAACGGTTTCGTCCCTCTCTCTGATAATCTATACTTCATTCCCCTCAGGGGATCAAAACGTGGACGGACCTTTTATACATGTATGTAAGTGTTGCTGCATTGTTCCCAAGGATTCGAGATTGCGAGGAATCTCACAAGGAAAAATAGCAAACCTGTGACCGATAGCGCACCATGAACTCAAGGTAACAAAATAAGGGCATACCTTATACATTGCGGCACCTTCATTTCACTGTTCAACAGTTCCAATTCATCAGAGGAGGAATTCCTAAATGGAGCGTTTAGAAGTTAGTAAGTAAGTTCAAAACTGCATATTCTCCCTTATGGAAACTTCGCATCTTTCTCAACTATATAGGAACACTATAGTCTACAAACAACTGCTGCAAAGAACTCGAGAAAAAACAATCTGATTGATATCAATTATCAATTGACAAAATTATAGCTAACAATTGATTTCACGGAACACTACTCCATTGTACAATTGGGTAGACATGATACAAATGCTAATTCCACTGTGTTACTGCACTGTTAAGGCTCGGCTGTTACTCTGTGAAAACGCTTGTTCAATTGCTGAGAATTGCTGACTTGTTTTTGTTTGTTAACTGCTGTTTTTGGCCGCAGTTCGCCTTGCGAATGTTTCACAAGAATGCTGGGTTGTGAACAAAACTTTCGCCCCAGGCGGGACTAGAACCCGCACCTCTCGCTTTCCGGGCAAGTGCGCTACCAGTTACGCTACCGGGGCACCATTTCATTCCAACTCAGCTTTTGCGTATACGTGTGAGTGCTGACAAGCTATGGTACGTATACCATGAAAAGCTGAGTTGGGAATGAAATGGTGCCCCGGTAGCGTAACTGGTAGCGCACTTGCCCGGAAAGCGAGAGGTGCGGGTTCTAGTCCCGCCTGGGGCGAAAGTTTTGTTCACAACCCAGCATTCTTGTGAAACATTCGGTGGGGGTTGCTTTGCTGCAGACCGGGATAAGAACCTACAGTACTGGCAAGCAAAGCCAGCCCCGAAGCCCACCATCGGTCGCTCGCCCCATGGGATTGATGTGGTTCCCATGTAGCTTGCGTACGACGCTCGCCAAAAGTACACTCCGCGCGCGGGGCTGAACAGAAGGCTCTTTCCGATTCGCCACAGTCCGGTTAAGTCTGATAGAATGTTAGGATTGGGCACTATACTTGGAATATTTGCAACAAAATGTCTAGTTTGCGCTGTACCGTAGTGATCTAAATCCAACTTACCCTTACCTAGCGCTACCCATCCCTGGGATTGTATACGGGTTAGGTCAAGGTGGTGGGTAAAGGACGGTCAAAACGGTGTCGGATCAAGAAACCCCTCTTCCGCCTAGATATTGCTCTTTACCTAGGGCTGACTTTAGCGGCTTGTTCGTAGCGGCACGCATCGTTTTTGCGCGCGGCACTCCTCGAATAGCTTTGGCTTGCATCCTCGACAGTTCGCAGCAGCTCTCATGCGTGAGGTGATGCATACTGTTCCGTGAAAACGTTGTCATTGAATCCTTACGAAAGCAAAGCTCACTTGTCACTATCCATCAGTACGAGATCATACGAGAAAATCGCTTCAAGGAATGACTGCCGGTTACGGTGCCTGGAAAATTTCTTCAATTTTTTAGGCAGTACAAGTACGAAAATACGCTCTAAGTGATGGATTAATCTAAGAATTATGTTAAAGCCACGGATTGGTATAAGGTGCCAAGAACCAGTCCACACTTGAATGAGAAACAGGGGTCTCAAGCACGAGCCGCGACACTGCCGCGACGCAAAATTGCGCGGCAATGGCGCTAAGGCCTTGCTTGTGCGCTGCTGGCGCTGCCGCTCTATCAATCGCGGCACACGTGGCATTGCGCCCTCTTGTGTACAACGTACGACCGCGCAAGGGAAACTCCAGTGTTTTCTATGGTGCTTTTTGCTTCTTCTCCCCAATGTTCCTCATCGTATTTTAAGTAATTTTCGAACCAAATTGTGCACCAGTTCAATCCCGACCCGTGCCTTTAAGTATATATCCAGAGAATATCAAGGAATGGGGTAATGAAGACATGGCATCATCTTTAATTACTTACTTATTGGCGAATGAAAGATTCATCTCTTCGTTGTAATTGTTTTGTTTCTATAATCCATATGCTGAATTGAATTACTCACTGGAAGAAGGGAACATGGCGACAGTCAGTGCAGATCTGCCACATGAACACTCCCAGGTTCCACATTAAGCTCAGATCGTTGTGAGTTTGATAGAGCAGCGACTCTGGTGCAACAAATCTGAATATATGTCTTCTTATTTCTATGTAGCATGGTGAAGTAGTAAGATATAGACGGGAGCCTCTAAAAAGCTTTTCATAAAATCAAAATGCAAAGCATTAACGCATTGGGGACAACATGACGCGCATGCGCGCCAGATTTTCGCGTGGCTGACACCCATTTGTTGAATTTTTTGTGTTTTTCATGTTGTGGAACTGTGCGCCTACATTATTCTGTCCCGAAGTTGGTGTTTCCCGTAGTAGTGGCGGGTGATCGAAGGGGTAAGGATGGTTTTGAGAAAAATTCAAACAAGATGACGTACAATGGACTGTCGTCATTATGTTAGTAGACATTAAACCTGCTCTCCTTGTCCTATTAAATTTGATTATTCTATGCAACATTTTGAACCGAAACAGTTTTCGACAAATACTCTTCCCCATACCTGCCTACTCCGTAATCCCCCGTGGTGGCATGTTCCACTGCTCTCATGGCATTTCACTACTTTTTCCTGTCCAAAGCATTTTGATATGTTGTGACTTTTCTTTAGTGAGTCTTTCTCGTTCATGAACCATTCCCCGGAACTTTTCATGAAGATTTTCCTTCTTCACCCGGTGAAGCTTCCACCAATACCCGCCTAGATCACATTGTTGTTTTCAAGCGCTTCTCAACGCCCTTGCATCCAATGACGTATTACTCTCAGGCTCAACCGTCACGTTCGCACTTTTTCAATGAATTTTGCGACCCCTCCCCTTTTAGGGGTCTCGATGCGACCCCACCACCATCAGTCTTAGAAGGCTCCCCAATACGATCCCCCTTCCCCTTCTCCGACCACCACCCTCACCATCATGGCTGTTTCTGTATTTGATTCTGAGACCAGTCGACACAGCCCAACTCCGCCCACTTTTTCCTCCAAAACGTAGAGTTAAGTGCGGGTGCATAAATACGTATCATGAAGCGGCAATTCCATCAATTTTCACAACCCTCTTTAACCATCTCCGACAACCTCCTTTTCCAATATGATAACCTTGCTCAAGCCCAATGTGCTATCCACCCTTCTCAAAATCACAAATGCGACCCCATCGTTCGAATACTGCGAATG